ATCAAATAACAGCCACCGTGCAAATTCAAGTGATCATATAGGGAAATCTGCCAACTGTTAGAAAATTGATATTCCTATTAATTTTCGCCAAATAACAGAACATAGCACAACATTGTCTAAACAGATGGACAGAAATATCATCTAAAAGACAGAGAGTTAGTCTACATGATACAAGTACTTTTACAATCCAACAATCTTTTTATTTTATATGCTTATTTGCATACAGTCAAAAAGAATGGAGAGCACCATACCTTATCATCTCTGAGCAACGCAAGACATCCAGAATTCCATTTTCCAAGTAGTTGCTTGGCAACGACCACCAGCAACTCCTGTTGCACTTTCTACAAACAGAAGAAGAAGGTATAAGTAAAATTTTCAGGGATCATTATTAGCATAGATATATTATTTAAAATAAACTACACAATTAAGTTATCCTTCTATGGTTGTATGTTTAGAAGACTTCAATTCTTTTGAGAAAGTACCTCCAATACAAATTTAACGTTCTAATAATAATATTTTAACATTAAAGGGCCCACAAATTTCCATATATTTTAACTAACCTCCACTAACTTCGGTTCACTACTTGAATGCAGGTAATGGGACAGTCTTTCCATTTCCTTCTTCGAGCATTCTTCAAACTGAAATTTCCAAAAGCATAAGAGAAGTTGGAAAATCAAAATAAATACTACATATAATCACAATCTCACTGAGGCATATGAAGAGAGTGTTGCCTTTAACATGCAATAATCTGGATAAGAATCCTCCAAAATCCAGCTGGTCGCCTTACGTGAATAGTACTGACCAGTAGCAATGAGAATGTGTTCTTCAAAGTCATTTTCATAATATTCCATGCCGATCTCAACAAAAATATCCAACACATTCTTCAGTAGTGCCCTGTCTATCCCTTCTCCCTCACGTTCTTTGTCAATCTGCCACCAAGCAATTCTTACACTTTCTTTCTTATTCAAAATAAGACTTACAATCCTGAAAGGATACAAGGCATGAACTCACCAGGATAATTACGGCATCTCTGACTTTATCTTTTATTTCATTGTATACCTAAAATTAGAAAAAGCAATATCATGAAATGAGTCAACAGGATAATTGAAACAAAAGAAGCGTATTCAAATCCAACTCAAACTAGCACATAACATTAATATTAGATGCAAAAAGAACTCATCACATACCCGATCACGGAAGCATGTTAATCCAACTTCATTAAGTGTAGGAAGTGATCTCCGACGAATGAAGTGCTCATCAAGATAAAGGAAGCGTCGCGACAGCCACTGAACCATTTTTTTATGATTTGACCATCTTTTAACAAGCTCCCTTAGCATGAACTCATCATGCTTCTCTCTTAAAGATGGCAACACCTGGTAAAGTGGAAGATGGAAAGAAAAAAGAACAATCAGCAACAAATCAACTACACTAACAACAAAAAAGTCAATACTTAAATCTTTTTGTTTCTTACCAACACTCATATTTTATCTATTGATAGTAAAGTAATTTTTTTGATGGCATACTGATGGTAAAATAATTAAAAAATTAAGAATTTCCCACAGGACTCAAGGATAAAAAATGGGACTACAAAATTAACAACCAATCTTAAAGAAAGCAGTAGAATTTTTCATGTATCAAAATAGCTTCGAAACAGGAAACAGAGAACCTGAATCAGATCAGAGCCA